TAAACCTGTAGGATAAAATATTGGAGAACAGCCTTAGTGGTGTGAGGAGGGAAAGGATTATTGAACAGGACACAGGAAGCGAAAGCTATAATGAAGAAAAGGAAAGGTCAACTTGATTGCATTAAAATTTAAAATTTTAAACACCTGCATAGCAAGAGATGAAAAACTTACAAGACATGAAAAAATATACATGCAGGATGCTTACCTGACAAAGAAGTGGTATCTGGAATACGTAATAAATTCTCCCAAGTCAGTACATGAGAGCAAACAACCCAGAAAACTGGATAGAGGACAGAAACAAGCAACTCTCAGGAGAGGGAAAATGAATGGCCAGTAAACATGTGGAAAATGCCCCATTTCGCTAGTTATCAGGGAGATGCAAATTTAAAGAAACAAAAACAAAAAACAAAGTGAAACAGGACAATTCATTCCCATCGGATTGACAAGTCTTTGATGAGTTTAGTAATACAAAGCTTCCACCAGGATGGGGAATGAGGAGCATTGTCAAACACTGCTTGTGGGAGCAGACTGGCGTCAACCACTTTGCAGAGCATTTGGCAATAGTTGGCAAAGTGGAAGCAACACAACCCTATGACCTGGTAATTCAGCTTCCAGGTACATACCCAAGAGAAGCTCTGAAACACAAGAGCAGGGGCGCCTGTGTGGCTCAGTCAGTTGAGTGGCTGCCTTCTGCTCAGGTCATGATCCCAGGGTCCTGGGATCGAGCCCCGCATTGGGCTCCCTGCTTGGCGGGGAGCCTGCTTCTCCCTCTCCCTCTGTCTGCCGCTCTGCCTACTTGCGCTCTCTCTCTATCTCTCTGTCAAATAAATAAATAAAATCTTAAAAAAAACAAAAACAAAAACAAAAAAACACAAGTACAAAGAGATGTACATGGAGGTTTTCATTGCCCCATTATTTGAAGTGGCAGAAATAACTAGAAATATCCTGTCCATTATTGGGGGAATGCATGAGGAAAAATAATCTATGCATTTTCCTACAATGAAATTATATGTGGGCATTAAAATACATGAGCTAGATCTTTATGTATCAACTTGGATAAATCTCAAAAACACAATGTTGTGTGAACAGAGCAAGTTACAAAAGGAAATATATGATACAATACTGCTGTGTCAAATATAAATATAAAACAATTCTAAATTTGAGTATATATATCAAAATATAAAAACATGAGTGGAAAGAACACACCATGCCACCAGGACAATGGTTATCTGTGGGGAGGGAAGGAAGGAAGGAAGGAAGGGAGGGAGGGAGGGAGGGAGGGAGGGAGGGAAGGAAGGAAGGAAGGAAGGAAGGAAGGAAGGAGGGAGGGAGGGAGGGAAGGAAGGAAGGAAGGAAGGAAGGAAGGAAGGAAGGAAGGAAGGAAGGAAGGAAGGAAGGAGGGAGGGAGGGAGGGAGGGAGGGAAGGAAGGAAGGAAGGAGGGAAGGAAGGAATGGAGGGAGGGAGGGGGGGAGGGAGGGAAGGAAGGAAGGAGGGAGGGAGGGAGGGAGGGAAGGAAGGAAGGAAGGAGGGAAGGAAGGAAGGAAAGAAGGAAGGAAGGAGGGAAGGAAGGAAAGAAGGAAGGAAGGAGGGAAGGAAGAAGGGAAGGAAGGAAGGAAGGAAGGAAGGAAGGAAGGAAGGAAGGAAGGAAGGAAGGAAGGAATGGAGGGAGGGAGGAAGGGAAATGAGGGTCAGGTGGGAGTCCAGCTATACCTATTAATTTTATTACCTTTAAAAAAATCTGAAGAAAATGTTAAATTGTTCACATTTTTAAAATCTGTGTAGTGACTTTCAGTAGTGTCATATTATTTTCTGATCTTTTCTACGTGTTTGGAATATTTCATAATTAAAGATCAAGTGAGGAAAGCCAGACTACTCAGGACCTGATAAGAAACCACCTTTCGTTGGGCGAGGGGTGGGGAGGGGCCTGGGTTGGGGGTGCACAAGCCCAGTGGTGGAGGAGCAAAGCCCTCAGGTCACCATGTCATCTTAGCCCGTATCACTGGGCCTCTCCAGAACTTGGTCTTCTCATCTATGGACTGATGCTTGAAGGCTGGATAAGCAATCCTTGGCTCCTCTCCAGGCTGGATGTTTGTGATTCTAATGATCTTGTAGGGGTACAAGGGCAACTATCTCACGCAGAGACAACATGAATTAAATTAGTTTAGCTTTTCGTTGTGAGACATGCCAAACAGATACAAAGTAGAGAGAACAGTATAGCGAATCTCTCTGTGCCCATTAATCAAGCTTCAACAGTTACCAACTCAGGGCTAATCTTGTTTTATCTTACCCCACCCATTTCTACTGGCCACCACCACCAGTGGGCTATTATGCAGCAAATCCCAGATATCTCAACATTTAATTAGTAAATATTTAAATATCTCCACCAGGTAAGATCTATTTTAAAAATATAACCAATACTACGATCCCACCTAAAAAATGAACAATAATTTCCAGTGTCATCAAATACCCAATCTGTACTCAACTTTCCTCAATTGCCTCATAATTTTTTTTTAAAGATTTTATTTATTTGACAGAGAGAGACACAGAGAGAGAGGGAACACAAGCAGGAGGAGTGGGAGAGGGAGAAGCAGGCTTCCCGCTGAGCAGGGAGGGAGTCAGACAGGGGGCTCAATCCCAGGACCCTGGGATCATGACCTGAACCGAAGGCAGACACTTAACGACTGAGCCACCCAGGCGCCCTGTCTCATAATTTTTTAAAAAATTGTTTGTTAGGATCCAAATAGGGTCCATACAAAGCAACTATAATTGATATGTCTTTTAGGTTCCTCTTTCACATCTTATGCTCTCTCTCTCTCTCTCTCTCTCTCTCTCACACACACACACACACCCTTATTCATTAAGAAACAAAATTATTTGTCCTTAGAGCTTCTCACAGTCTGAATTTGGCTGATTGCTAAATTGTTAGATCTCAGCTTGATTAACTCAAGGCTTGATTTTTTGGGGGGGTCTGTCAAGAATACTTCATTGATCCATGAGGAAGCACACACTATCTAGATGTTTCTCCTTTTATATATTAGCTGTCACTGATGATTATCATTTAGATTCATGAGTTCATTAGGGGCTACAAAATGGTGACATTTTAATTCTGTCACTCCTCCATCTATTTGCTTGAATGCTTCTGTAAAGAGAAACTGCCCCTCATCAACCATATGATTATCTTGAAGTATAGTTTAAATGCAGGATAAATACTTGATTCATTTCCTTTACTTGCCAGTTTTTAAAGTAGTAAGTTAGTATTCTCAACAGCTGACCAATAAGGGTTTTCTTTTTTAAAAATAACATTATGAACTTGTGGATTTAAACATATTTTATATGCTTCAGTCAAGTGGAGTTATCCTTATTGTTTCTCAAATCATCCTCTTCAAGATACCTCCTGAGTTTTTTTGATATGATTTTGGTAGTCTTTGATAACTTCATTGCTTTCTGATATAAGATAATGTTCCTAACTCATCTTGTACATTTTCTGTCCTAGATCTGGAGTCAGCCATGTCTCCAAGGAGCCCTTGTTCCTTTTAGTGGGAAGTGGTATTTAGAGACCATAATCTGGGGGCTAAGGGTGCTTGGTGCTAATGGATTGGTCATTGTTTTTAGATCCCTTTAGTAGCAGAGCTAAGTTGTGTGTGTGTGTGTGTGTTTACATTTGTTAAAGATAAAACACATCATGAAATCTATTGATACTTCTAATTCAAATTCAGGGTTGCATGTTTTTACTTCACCTCATTGATCTTCTATCTGAATTTTCTTACAAAGTGGATTAAATTCTGAGTGGTTTACATCTAAGTGACAATGATGTTCAAAACCTTCTCTTGTTACCCATTTGCTATTTGCCTCATTCTCCAACCTGACAGTGAACTTCCTGAGGGCAGAGATCAAGTTTGATTCATTCTGTATTCCTGGCTCCTAACAGAGTAACTGTCACATGCTAGGTACTTAATAAATAGCTACTGAATACCTAAAAGAATGATGCTTTCAAGGAAAACAAGGAATCTGAAAACTAGCTCTGAAATTTAAGCCAAGACTATTCACCCATCCATGAATTCAATAGAAACAGACAGAGCATACCCAGTGTTGGAGGCTAGGGACAAGGGTTATAGAGATAAATGGTCCATGCCCTCAAGCAATGCACCCAAGTGGGGAAAACAAACTCAAATGATCGTAACAATGATAAAACCATGTTATTAATAAATAGTGGCCTGGAGAGCATATTGTGAGGGTTGTGAGAAGGGAGGATAGGGCAACTTTTACAAAGGTCAGAAAGGGAGGTATCCATGAAGGCTTCCAGAAATCAGGTTTGTCCTGGCTGTTTAAGGATGCGTAGGGGTTGTAGGCTGAGAGAAGGAAGGGCATTTTATTTTTTTTATTTTTTTATTTTTTTAAAGATTTTATTTATTTATTTGACAGAGAGAGACACAGCGAGAGAAGGAACACAAGCAGGGGGAGTGGGAGAGGGAGAAGCAGGCTTCCTGCAGAGCAGGGAGCCCGATGTGGGACTCGATCCCAGGACCCCGGGATCATGACCTGAGCCGAAGGCAGACGCTTAACGACTGAGCCACCCAGGTGCCCAGGAAAGGCATTTTAGATGCACTAGTCCCTGAGTTGCCTGCCTCTCTGTAGTGCTGAGCTGGTTTGTTCCTGGATGGCTGAAGATTTTGCAAATCTTTGTGCTGGGGCCGCAGTCTACTCCTTGGAGAACCCCCAAGTGTCTCCCCTGAGGGATGTGCAGGAGGGCAGGCACCGAGTGTGAGAGGGGAAAGGAGGAGGCTGGGAGCTGGTGGGCCCGAGTCACTCTTCAGAACACAGAGAGGCTGCCCCTCAAGGCAGAGCTCGAAACAGACGTCAACTGTTGTGCATGCACTCCGGAGATCAGCTTGTTTGTCAACGAAAGTAATTTGCATTCAGGCTTGTTTGGGGACACACTCCCTAGTCCCTGGGAAACCCCAAGCACCCATGTTACCCAAGATTCTACCAGTTAACTCACCATCGCATTTTTATCAGGGGGAGGCTTCCTCCCCTGCCCCTGCTGGCCCAGTTCGAGGAGTCACAGCTGTCAGGTCGGAGTCCTGCCCCCCAACATGAGCAGGTCTTCCCTTGCAAGGGCAGCCCCTGGACTCAAGGATCAAAGAAAGTCAGTTATTTGTAAATTATTGTCTAGGGAGATTTGCCCCGGTTTACGAAACCCACCAGCCTGTTGAGTGACTTTGTACTTTCTCTTTAAATAAATTCACTTTGGGGGCGCCTGGTGGCTCAGTCAGTTAAGCGTCTGCCTTTGGCTCAGGACATGGTCCCAGGGTCGTGGGATCGAGTCCTGCATCGGGCTCCCTGCTCAGCGGGGAGCCTGCTTCTCCCTCTGCCTGCCACTCTGCCTACTTGTGCTCTCTATCTCTGTCAAATAAATAAATAAAATCTTTAAAAATAAATAAATAAATTCACTTTTTAAGCCTAAATATAAGTATTTTCAAAGGAAACTTTATATCATCATCCTAAATGGATATCGCCCACCTTTAAAAACATCTCCATGCTATTAAATACAATGAGAACAAAGTGGGCTAGCTATGCCTCAAGTCCTTCTTACTCCCTCTTTGTTACCAAAAGGGAGGTGAGGCAGTATTTGAGAGGTGTGAGGACCCCTCAGCTCCCGGATCTCATCAGAATGTTTGACGGAGAAGAGGAAAAGAAATAACTTCCCTGGGCGCCTGGGTGGCTCAGTCGTTAAGCGTCTGCCTTCGGCTCAGGTCATGATCCTAGGGTCCTGGGATCGAGCCCCATATCGGGCTCCCTGCTCTGCGGGAAGCCTGCTTCTCCCTCTCCCACTCCCCCTGCTTGTGTTCCTGCTCTCGCTATCTCTCTCTCTGTCAAATAAATAAGTAAAAATCTTTAAAAAAAAGAAAAGAAAAGAAATAACTTCCCTGCTGTGAGTCAATGATTGTTAATGCCTCCTTAGCTCACGTAAAATATCCTCCCCCATACCCCACTTTGGGAACCCTGAGCTAGTCTAATACCCCCAATGCAGATGGGGAAACTGAGGCCCAGCCAGCACAAGTGACTTGTAATGGAAGTCCCTCGGAGGAGGGACCATTGTCGGCCTTGCCCCCCCACCCTCCCGTGTCCTTAGCTCTGTTCGCTGAATGAACAAATGAATAACCTCACACAGCCCCGAGTCCGGATTGAAACTAAAACCAGGTTGTGGACTTTGAGCATCTTTTGCATATGGCAGACTCCCCCACCCGGCCCCGGCTTCCGACCCCTCTCCTCAGCTTCCTCTTTCGGTTCTTCACAGGGGAATTCCAGGGACTGTGCTTCTAGGGCAGGGGGGTGTGGCCGGGCCTGAACCACGCTCTTGGACTGTCCCCCCCAGTGATCTGGGGTGGGTCGCAGCCCACGCTCTAGGTGGCCTGGCAGGTGATGTGCAGGTGAGGGAAGGTAGCAGCCCCATCCCTGCTCTCTCTGGTCTCCGCGGTCAGCATCTCCAAGGTCGACACTGGGCCATCAATCCTGCCACATCTGACCCTCCTGGGAGCCAGGGCTGCGGAGTGGATAGTGGGCTTGTCAGGCCTGGACACGGGGGCCGAGGGGACCCCAGGGGATATGAGAAAGGCCTTGCTGGGGGTGTATCTGGAGCTTGTGTCCCTTCTCCTTCCCTCCCTTGCTGCCCACTCTGAGGACACTGATCTCTGGCCCCACTGTGGGCTTGGCTCTGTGCTCTCCTGAGCCAGTCCTCGCGAGGCAGTCATTTTATCAGCTCGTGCTCGGGCCATGCACCCACCACCCACATCCAGCACCTATCCAGTCAGTCCCCAGAATTCAGAGAGGAACTGGACCCATGCCTTGCCCCCAAGTTGCTGTCAGGGTTGTTGGTAGGGAATAGACCCGTCCCAGATGACCCCACTATTCCATGGTCAGTGCTCTAAAGGCAATGGCATGGGGCTGTGGGGGCCCAGCGGAAGGGTGCCCGCCTGGCCTTGAGGTCGGGATGGCTTTCTGGGGGAGGGGATGTTTCAGCTGGGCTCTGAAGGACAAGTGGGATGAGGGGGCTAGAGGAGGAGGGGCAGCACACCTGTGGGCTAGCAGGTGCAAAGGCCCTGGGGTGCATGTGACAGAGGCTCAAGGGAAAGCCCCTGAGGGGCCAAGAAGTGTCCTGGGGAAGCCAAGGAGCTGCTGGCAATTTGGCAAAGGGCACTTACGGTGGGATCTGAGCAATGGGAAATGAGCTCCAGTTGCAGCACTGGGCAGCGCTTGGGGGAGGGAGAGTCAGGCAGGGAGCAGTGCGGATGCTACCATGGTGACTGCAGCCTCAGAGATGGGCATCCCCAGAAAAATGTATTGGGTGAGAGAGTAAGGAATAACCAGGGGAAGAGAGACCTAAGCCTCTCTTCACCTCCCACATCCCTCATTCCCCTCACCCCACCACCAGTCCACAGGGGCTCCGAAGGGAGATGCTTCCAGATCAGGGATCAACAAACGTGCTGGGCCAATGCACAGGTGTTCTGTTTCCTCTGGCTGACAAAGCTGGGGGCCTGGTGTTCTGGGATGCCTGGTGTCGTTGCTGCCTGTTGAAAGGTGGCTCTGTCCTCTGACCCCTCTGCCTCATGGTAGCACAGACCACAGTCATGGACTTCTGCCTCCCCCTTCCCTCCTGTCCCTCTTGGTCACCTCACCCAGAGCTCACCATGGGTCTGCTACCTGCTGATCCTGCCCCCCTCACTCCCGCCAGGCCCTGCCCTGTGCCGGTGTCCCCTGCATTGCCTCCATGCGCCCTCCTGTCACCATCCTTGCCTCCTTCTGGGACCTCCCGCGTCTCAGTCCTCAGCCTGGCTCCTCCCATCTGCCTGAAGTCCCCAGTGACCCCCAACTTCCCAGCCTCCCTCTGTGCATCGTCCCTAGGAGAGCTAGGGCAGGCCTGAGTTTGGGTTCTGTTCCAGGCTTACCTGCGGGATCCCCCCGCTCTGTGCCTCAGTTTCTCATCTGGAACACAGGGGCAAAACCCAGACAGCCCCAGAACAGTCAGCACCATCGCCGCCCCCTACCCCTTCCAGATTGGGGGGGGTGTCCCCTCTGGGCCGCCGCGTGGCCGGGTCGCGCGGGTCGCGCTCCGCCGGGGCGGGGCGGGGGGGGGGACGGGGGGCAGCGTGGCGGCGGCTCAGTGGCGCGGTGGCCGTTCGCGCGTGGCCCTCGGCCCTGGGCGGCCCCGCGCTGAGCAGATGGCCGGGGAGGCGAGCGGCCGCGTCAGCTGCTGTTATCTCTCGCTGATGACACGGAGTGTAAATTTTGTTGGCAACACTCCCTCCTGCCTCTGCATGCCACCAGCTTTAATCACTGTAATTGAGTTATAATGAATGATTGTGTGCTCGCATTGTGCGCGCCGGCGTGAGCCGAGTGAGCGAGCGCCGGCCGCCCCGCCGGGGTGGGGGGTCCGCGCGGCCGCCGGGGAGGGGGTTGTCCCCCCCCCGCCGCGCCCCCGGGGCTGGGGTAGGGGGGCGGCTCCCCGGCTCCCCGGCTCCCGTCTGCCCCACACCGCTCCGGGCGGCCCGTTTGCTTTGCACTTTATTACCATTTTCAAAGGACAACGAATTCGGGAACGTCGTGGAATATTTGGAAAACGCAGATAAGCAGAAAGAAAAGGCAAAGAACAGGGCTTGAGGCGCTGAAATCCTGCCCCTCGGTGATAAGCACCCCCCCCCTTCCATTCTGGAGAATATTCTTTCAGACTTTCACAGGGCAAATGGTTACAGCGGCTGCCCACCCCCACTCCCCAGCCATCGCTGTGCGTGGAAGTCCGTGCTGAGTGCATGTAGAAGCCTCAGCTCACACAGGCATCTCCATGCCTAGCGCCCAATCACCCCACTGTGCAGAGGAGGCAGCTGAGGCTCAGGGAGCTTGCAGGACCTCTCAAGCTCAAGCAGCTAGTAAGTGGGTCCCCCTGTTTCAAACCCAGTGGCGTCTGTTGGCCCTCTGTTCAGGATACAAATAAAAATAGATTTTAAACACCCCTCTGTCTACACTTTCCCCAGCCCCCTCCTGCCCAACAGAAAAGCAGAACTGGCTCCAGAACTTGAATTTTCTTTCTCATTTCAACATGATAGTGCTCATCCAGGGAAAGCGAGTGCTGGGACCAGGCCTCTTCCGGGAGCACAGCCACCAAGCCCCTGTGGGGGTGCCTTGGGACCAGAGACCCTGCCCGAGTCACATGGCCCAGCAGGCTGCTGCCCATTCTGAGATGGAGGCCTTAGGGAAGTCGCTGCCCCCCAGGGGCACGAGGGGAGAATGGAGGCAGCCCCCGGGAATGTTCTGGTGGCCTCGGGGTCCCTCCCAGCGAGGCAGGCCCGGGTCTCTCCTGGCTCTCAGTGGAGCTGATGCAGGTAAACCTCCCTGATCAAGGGCAGAGGGAGGTGCTGGTGTGACTGACGAGAGTCACCCCCTCCCCAGAGACACCGAGGTCAGGATGGGGTGCAGTCACGGCTCTCGGGGCTGGGGGGAGGGCCGCAGGGCTAGCTCCGTCCCTGACTTTCTGCATAACTTGGGCAAGTCTCACTTTGCTACATTTCCCCTCTGAGGCCCTGGTCTTGCCTCCAAGATGACCAACATGGGGGTCACCTGATCGCTCCTTGCACTCTTCCAGGGGGCGTCATTCATTTTTATTGCATGATAATATTATTGTAAATAAATAGTCCTTGTATTTATAGATTTATAACTAAATAATACTTATAATACATACATAATTATTATTTTTAGAGATTTTATTTATTTGAGAGAGAGAGAGAACACATGATCAGGGAGAGGGGCAGAGGCAGAGGGAGAAGCAGACTCCCTGCTGAGCTGGGAGCCTGATGCGGGACTCGATCCCAGCACTCTGGGATCATGACCTGAGCCAAAAGCAGCTGCTTAACCTACTGAGCCACCCAGGCGCCCCATAAATAATCATTATTATTATAGCTAACATCTCTTGAGACTTAGTATATGCTAAGCACTATGTGTCTATGCCATCTCTTTTCTTCTGTGACGGAATATCGTACTTTTTTACACCAACGTCTTAAAATCCGTTCACAAATAGAAGCTTTAGTGCCTTAAAGCCAAGCTCTATGGGAGGAGTTGGCCCGGTCCTCAGCCTTGGACCCCCCTTCCCCTCTCCAGATCCAGATGGAGCGAGGTTTGTGAGTCCTCTTGTCGGAGGCAGGCCGCAGAGCAAGTCACCGTGATTGTTCTTGGAGGATTTCGTGGTAAGGTATTTCAAGTGCCCTTTAGAGAGCCGCTTCTCTCAGAAAACAATGATTACTTTCGTGAAGTGTTCTTGGTAAAGAGCATTCCCCAGGTTTCAGGGTTTCCAGTGCCTTTAACCTTCTCTTTTGATGATGGTTCTGGTTTCTAGGATCCAAAGTCCCATCTGCTGGTGGCGGTGAGCCAGGAGGACCCCAAGTGCCAGTCTCTGTGTTTCTGGATGCTCTGCGGGCACAAGGGATGCCAGCACAGACTGCTTACCAGTTCTTTCACCCTGTCATTGGATCCTCCCATGGCTCCAGACCCGGCTCCATTTCACAAAAGACGACTAGGAAGCACAGAGAGGTTAAGTAACTTGCCCAGGGCCACACAGCTAGGTGTCCTGTGATAGGCATCAGGGGAAGAGCAAGACACACACAGCTCTTGTCCTCCAGAAACAGTCCCAGGGCCAGATCCTTGACCTACTTTAGGGCTCCCACTGATAGCTGAGCATCACCCCTGCAAGCACACCCACCCACCCACACGTGAAAGCGTGTGTGCGTCCACCACGCTGTCCCCTGCAGGTTGGGGGCTTCCCTCTTTATGCCCATGGCCCAGTGCTGGACTTGTCCATCTGAACCTCACAGCTGGCCTCTGAGCTGAAGGGATGGGCTTCTTCTTCCTCTCATTAGGAAGGTCATGTGGTCCCCAGAGATTCAGACACTGCCCCACTTTGGGCAGCAGAGGAGAGCAGTTCTGAGCACGGAGGGACGTGATAGCCAGACTGCCCGGGTTCAAATGGCAGTTCTCCCAGTGATCACCTGGGAGACCTTGGGTAACATGCTTGGCCTCTCTGTGCTTCAGCTTCCTCATCCATAGAACAGAGATAAACAATCACTCACCCCATAGGGTCCTCGGGAGGATTAAATGAATTAATACACGGAAAGCATTTAGCGGAACGTCGGTACCTATTAAATGCTCAGTAAATGATGACAAAGAGGAGCAAACATGGAGGAGGTTGCTTATCTGAGTCCTGGTCTCCAAGCAGCCTCCGAGCAGCCTTGCAGGGCCTAAAAGGACCTTCTGGCTATGAGTAAAGAGCCCCGAGTCCTTCAGAGACTGGAGGAAGAGAGAGAGAGAAAGAGAGAGAGCCTCCCTCTGTCATGGTTCCTTCCACCATGACACAGTCCCATTCACAAAAAGTTAAAAATAGAACTACCCTATGATCCAGCAATTGCACTACTAGGTATTTACCCAAATATTACAAAAATATTATTTCAAAGAGATACATGTATCCTGATATTTATAGCAGCACTATCTATAATAACCAGATTATAGCCTCCAGCCCCCAGAACCTAGATGGCCCGTTTTCAGAGCAGGACAGAACAGTGACTTTCTCAGAGGCAAGGACTGTGTCTCCATCTTGTGTCCCCGGTGCCCAGCGCAGGACACAGGCTGGATGGGAAGTGAGGACCGCCGAGTCCTCATCCGGGACTCCGCCCTGGCTGGGGATGTGACATTTCAGCCTGACTTCTCTGAGCAGCCCTGCCAGGGCGGTGGTTTCTGCTCTCCCTACGGACGAGGACCAGAGAGGGGCTGATTAGCCCTGCTCCGTCTTCCCCGGACCCTGGCTGCACCCGTCCACAGCCAGTGCTTCCAGGAACGGAAGGGAGAAGGCACCAGCTGAGCTCGGGTGGGCCCCGGCGGAGGCAGGAGGAGGCCCCGGAGCAGGTGGAGGCCCTCAGGGGGCAGGAGCCCCCTTCTGAAGCAAAGGCCTGCTCTGTGGGCCCAGTCCCAGGTCCCCACGTGTGACTGTCCCCACACCCTGACTCACCAGAGGGTCTTTTTGTCTTATTGGAGAGAAGTCAATTTCAGGTCCTTAGAATTCCTTGATGATCAGTTCTTCCATCGGCCATTTCCTTCATGTTTGCTTGTAATTTATTCTTTTACCTGTAGATATGCATCCTTAGGATCTGAGAATGAGGGGAGTTAGCAACATCAATTCTAAAAATCATTTGGCTTTTTAAAAAGTAATTCATGAATGCAGAGGGGGAGACTGACCGAAGCTGAAATTGGGGTGTGAGGGGGAGATGAGGCTGCTGGGGGGACAGGAAGAGGCCTGCGGGGGTCCTGTCAGGCTGGCCTGGATTCCTGGGATCCCTTCCAGGTGCCACTCAGAGAGCACAACGGGTTTGCTCTTCTGCTGCGGCTTCTAACCTGGAAAGAGCCAGATGCACACGCCCGGGCAGAAATCCGGGGTGAGAAATTGGACACCAGTGGGCTGGGCCTTGGAGTTTAGGTGAAGCCTCCTAGTTGTTCAGGATGAAGGATCCTGGATGAGGCCTGATCAGAGCTCGGGGAGAATGGGGAGGTAGGGACAGGGAGGGAGGCCCGAGCCCCTTCCAGAGAAGCCTTCTCCGTTCCCTGCATGTCATCCCCTGACACGGGAGAAACAGTTTTAAGTAAAAATTTGCAGAGGTGCAGAATTCTTACGTATTACGATGCACTTTGGCTCCTGTTGCTTATTTGACCCCTGTGGCTCTGGGGTAGAACGTCTCTCTCTTTGACACTAGGGCAAGCTGGGGGGCTCAGAGAGGGCCAGCGATTCACTCAAGGCCACACAGTTGGGCAGGGGAAGCCACGGGACTCCATCCCAAGTCTTGCTCTTGCCCTTGACCCAGCTGGGTCCTCAGCCCTGGCTGGCACACCGCAGTGTAGGAAGAGTTTTCTGGAAGCTTCTGCAAGCCCCTTTCGTCATGTTTCCTCATGGGGACAGAGAAGGAGGGCTTCGTCTCTAAGCCAGGGAACCGAAAGTTCTGGCCACAGAAACTCTAGATTGAAGAGCACCAGCAGCTGAAGAGTGGCCTGATTCTCTGCAAGATGCAGTTGACTTCCTGCCCGGTGGCCCCTGGTGCTTACAGATGAAGGCTGACATGGAGGAACCCCAGTCTCTGGTGGGCTCCCCCCACTCTTCTCTGCTCCTGTGCCACACCCCCTTCCTAAAGCCACCAAGCCTGCTTCTGTGTCAGGCTTCCATTC